TAAGTTCAGAGACCCCTTCATCGTCTCTGAAGCCCCCGGCTTCCTAAAGGGGTTGCACATTTGGCTAAAGAGACTCCCTAAGAAAGTCTCCAAAAGGCGAAGATTAGGGAAACGTAGACTGCAGCTTCGAGGCCAAGTTCCGGAGTCTTGAGAACGTTTTCTTCTCCGTGTCTCTAAAGAATGAGCCTTCTACTTTTATGGACAGCTGCTCTGAAGACATGCCAGATCTCAAACTCCCCCTGCTTTGTGAGGAAATGATTTTCCTTTACTTGACAAGAGAATAAAATCACCAAGGCTGGAGCTGCCCGGGCAGTTGCTTTAAAAGGAAAAGATGGTCTTACGATGGGCCCAGGCTCACCTGATCTCAATGATGTCCACTACACCCTGAGGATACTTGCATATAGTTGGTCCTGGTCTTTGTAAAGGTGTAATATCCTCGGTTTTATTTTATGTATTTATTTATTTTTTGAGTTAGAGTCTCACTCTGTCATCCAGGCTGGAGTGCAGGGGCACGCTCACGGCCACGGCAGCCTGGACCTGCCAGGCTCAGGCGATCCTTCCGCCTCAGGCTTCCAAGTAGCTGGAACTACAGGCGCGTGCCACCATGCCCGGCTAATATTTTGGTTTATTGTAGAGATGGGGGGGGTCTCACCAAATTGCCTAGGCTGGTCTTGAACCTGTGAGCTCAGGCAATCCTCTCACCTCAGCCTCCCAAAGTGCTGGCATTATAGGTGTGAGCCACCACACCCGGCTGTATCCTCAGTTTTAAAACTCAACCTTCTTGCCAGGGGCAGTGGCTGATGCCTGTAATCCCAGCGCTTTGGGAGGCCAAGGAAGGAGAATCACTTGAACCCAAAGGCGTTCTCTAAGTCTTAGCAGTTTTTCTATGCTGCTTTTCATTTTCCTAAACTAGAGCTGTAATCCCAGCACTTTGGGCGGCCGAGGTGAGAGAATTGTCTGAGCCCACGGGTTCGAGACCAGCCTGGGCAACTTGGCAAGCCCTCACCTCTACCTACCCTTCCCCTGCCTTCCTAATTTCTACCCTTGGTTGTGCCGTATAGAGACGGGGCTCTGCGTCCTGAGTCTGTGGGCGTGGTGGCTCATGCCTGTAATCCCAGCCTTTTGGGAGACCAAGGTGGGAAGATCACTTGGCGCCAGGAGTGTGAGACCAGCCTGGGCAACATAGCAAGATCCCATCTCCAATAATAATAATAATAATAATAATGTAAAATTCTGCTAACTTGGGTGTCCTTTTGCCCCTTTCGCATTTAATCTCCTTTCTGATACTACCCACTCAGCTTGGCTTTTAGAGAGCAAAGAGGAAGACGGGATGAAGGGACCTCTGTGTGAGAACGGGCCCCTTCAGTCTTCCGTGGGCAAGGCATGCTGGCCGCTGGGCCAGTGTCTGGCCTTTGTACTTGGATGTTTTGCCCTGCAGGCCCCAGGCTCAGTTTCATGGAGGACTCCCGTGGTCACAACCGCCACGCCTCCTTGGCAGGCAACCCCAGACATGCATCAGCCGCGCATGACTGGGCACCCCTGTTCTCCGTGTTTTCTTCTTTCCTAGCTTGTCCCCTCTGGCTATTTCCTGTTGCAGACTCCAAAGCTCCCCATCATTTACCCCACCCTTTGGTTATGTGCTGTTTGCTGAGTGTTCTCTGATTTTCTCCCAGCTTCCTCGTAGGATTTAGTGCTGCTTCTCCCACTTCCCGTATTTTCTTTTTTTGAGTCGGGGTCTCTGTCGCCCAGGTTGGAGTGCACTGGCACAATCAGGGCTCACTGCAGCCTTGACCTCCTGGGCTCAGGGATCCTCCCGCCTCAGCCTCCCGAGTAGCTGGGACTGCAGGCATACGCCGCCAAGCCTGGCTAATTTTTTTTAACTATTTTTTTTTTATGTTGTCAAGATGAGGTCTCGCTGTGTTGCCTAGACTGGTCTCAAACTCCTAGGCTCAAACGATCCTCCTGCCTCAGCCTCAGCCTCCCAAAGTGCTGAGATTACAGGCATGAGCCACCACACCTGGCCCCATTGACTGTATTTTCTAGTGCTGCGCCTAATTAAGGCGGAAACTGAACAGGATGCGCCTCTCACCCCCTTGCGGGCTAGTTCTGCTTGTGTGTGTGGCTTGGGCACTTACCATGTGTGTCCCTGTGTGTTTCAGTACAATTATGAGACAGTTTTTTTTCTGAGTGCTGAGTGGAATTTACATCATAGGAGGTACTAGATGTGGGTGCAGTTAATAGTCCTGGGCTTGGAAGATCCTGATTGTTCAGTGAGCCTTGGAAGTGCCAAACATCACTGCTCTGAAATCAGGGACATGGGTATGTCTTTCTGATCCTAGGATGGGCGGGATAGCTAGTGGAACCGGGAGACATCTCATAGGGAGCACCAACCTGGATCCCTCTCATGTGCAGTTCACAATAGGGTTCGCACTCTTATGAGAATCTAATGCCGCGGCTGAACTGACAGGAGATAGAGCTCTGGCTGGCTGCCTGCCTGCCGGCCTGCCGGCCTGCCACCCACCACCTGCTGGGCAGCCCGGTTCCTAACAGCCCACGGACCAGTACCAGCCCGCAGCCAGCCTAGTCTAGGGTAATGCATGCCCCAGGGTGCATTGTCATAGCCTCACTTCACCCCACTCCCCTTCCTTATAGCTCACACCCAGCAGGATGGGTTCCACATTGTCCCTCAGCCCCATAAGGGTACCTGTGACCTGCCTCACTAAATGATAAATACAAAGCCCTTGGCCGGGCACAGTGACTCATGCCTGGAATCCCAGCATTTTGGGAGGCTGAGGCTCATGCCTGGAATCCCAGCATTTTGGGAGGCTGAGGATCGCCTGAGCCCAAGAGTTTGAAACCAACCTGGGCAACATAGCGAAACCTCATCTCTACAAAAAAAAAACCTGAAAAATTAGCCAGGCGTGGTGGTGCACGCCTGTAGTCCCAGCTACTCAGGAGGCTTGGGTGGAAGGATGACCTGAGCCCAGGAGGCCGAGGCTGCGGTGAGTCTGGTTGTGCCACTGCACGCTAACCTGAGCGACAGAGTGAGACCCTGTCAAAGGAGGGGAGGGAAGGTTAGATATGGCCCAGCCCCCCCCCACCCCGTGTGATTGAAGTAATAGTAGCAACAGTGAAATGATAGTGAAGGGATGGGTGTTACCAGGTGTCTACCTTTTTTTTTTTTTTTTTTTGAGTTGGAGTCTCACTATCGCCCAGACTATAGTGCAGTGGCCACTTCCGGCCACCGCAGCCTCGACCTGCTGGGCTCTGACAGTCCTTCTGCCTCAGCCTTCCAAGTACCTGGAACTACAGGCGCAAGCTACCACGCCCGGCTAATTTTTTTGATTTATTGTAGAGATGAGGTCTCACCTGCACAGGCGGGTCTCGAACCCGCGGG